CTACATGAACAGGGCTAAATTCTACTCTTGGTTACACTCGTGTGTCAGTAGAGTTAACGTGGATTTTACACCTATGTAACCGGGAGCCAAATCTGACTCATACTCTGCAAAAGACCTGAGAGTAAGATTTGTGTGGCGTAAAAGTGTTCCAAAGATGTGCAGTGGTATTATTATTACTATAATAAACAGAAAATAAAAAACAAAGCTTTCACTTGGCCCGGGGTAGTTACTGGGAAATTGGAGGAGAGGATTTGTTTGTGGTTTTTCCTTCTTCTTCTAAAGGTGATAAAGTTCAGCAAAGCAGGAAGGGGGAGGAAAGTATATTTTGCAACAAAGCCTTGAACAATGTTCCTCTAGAGCTGTAGGCACTGAGTTGGAAGGGGAATAAAATCCTCTGAAGCAAGAAATTCTGCAAAGACAGCAGTGTCTCCCAAAGGAAAGGTCAGGCAGGAATTTAAAAGTGGGGGGGGGGGTGGTGTCAGGGAAGTGAATTTGCCAGGACAAGCTATAAATATATGTTATTTATCCACATTGAACAAAAAAAGTGCTTGCATAGCTCCCTGAAAGAAATTTCTTTTCATAAAACCCAAATATCAAAATTCTCATCCACTTTTATCTAGTCCTATGGAAACGTTTTTTATAAGGGCAAGTTTGCTCGCTAATCAAATCTGAGATAAAGCATTTCCCTATCTTTGAGAAAGCTGTAAGTTCACATGGTAACTATACAAGGAAACAACAAAAAATAAGCAGAATGCTTCCTTTGTCTTCCCAAAGAGAAATCTTTTATTTTTTTTAAAGCTGATTTTTAAAAAAATTTTCAATGGATAGAGAGTTTAGTGTTAGTGTCAGCTGATAGCGCTGGAGACTAAAGTCCTCTGATAATTCAGTAAATTAGCACCAGTGCTGTTTATCCCTCGACTGCCCAGCCAACATACCTCAACCCAGTCCTGGAAAAGCCATCTCGGGGGCCACACAATATTCCCTGCCCCATTTAATCCTTGGCTTCTCTGCAAAGACTGCCAATAAAAGGGCTGATTACTAATAGTATTACAGTAGTGCCCACTATGTGCTAGGCACTTTCCAGACACACAGGAAGATGCAGTCCTGGCCAGGATGAGCTTACAATCTGAGTGCACCAGCAACCTACGAAAGGGGGCAGGTGGGCAAGAGAGTTAAAACATACAGCCCGAGCATTTTTTAAAATCAGTATCAACTACCTCCAAGTGCGCCTACCTAACTATTATTAGTTGGTCAATTTCTTATAGTCATCACACTAGAAGTGGGTCTTGGGGAAGGATATGAAGGATGACACGGGAGTGGCCTTATAGACTAGTCCAGGGAGGATGTTCCATACACGAGGGGTCATGTAGACAAAAGTGCACAGACCGTTCTGGGAGGTTAATGACAATGATGGGGGTGTTTCTGCCGATGCAGACTACTAGGGCCTGGTCCCCACTTAGTCCGGACTTCGGACTAAGGTACGCAAATTCAGCTACGTCGAAGTACCTTAGTCCGAAG